ACAGCTGTTAAAGGCAATACACATTAGACTAGTGTTTGTTACTCAAGGATCCCTAACAGTAAAGTCCTGGCAGGTGTAAATTCCATGTGATGAAAAAGTTTGTTCATTTGTTTGTTTTCTTTGGGGATGAACTGAATGGATTCCTTTGATGAGTTATCGAAAGCCGTGTAATTATAGTCATTGGCCATCGACATTTCTAGAATTGCAGATTATACTAATCTCCTCAGATTGCTGCCTCTTGGCTATTTTACTATCGTTAATACTCTTCCTGATGGTGAACAGGGAAGGATGCTAAAATTGTGACCAACCATTTTCAGGGTAACTTATATATCTTACTTATTAAGGCCACCCAGCCTCCTGTCTGCACTGATATCAGAGGGCTGCATTCACCAAAGGGAGGCTTTTATATTTATGCCCTTTGCTTTGGGAAATAAAATATCCAAATGCAAGAGTGGCATTATTAGTTGTAATAATAGGTGCTATAGATACTGACTTATTACTTGCTAAGTGCTATATGAAACTCCTTTTATATGTTAAAACCACTTCATCCCCAAATCTTTGGGGTTGGTATTGTTTTCCTCAACATACTGATCAGTAAACAGATAGTTTAAGTAATTTATCCAAAATCAAACAGCTATTAAGAGGCAGAACTGAGTTGATTCTAAGAAGTTACTCCTGGCCAGGCTAATTCCAAATATAAGATCTTGAGAGGGATCTCTTGGGATCTTCTTGGGAGATGTGAAATAATACTATATATATATATATATATATATTAGTCCCTCCCCTTGGCTCCTGGCGCAGAGCTCCTAAAATCTTTGTAATTTCCCAAGTGATAAGAGCATGAAAAACATCTTTTGTTCAAATAGTTGGTCTTTGATCCTGGTTCCTAACACAGAGCTCCTAAATCCCTTGGAATTTCTTGAGGGATAAAAGTTATCTCTCTCTTTTTTTTAAAGACTTTATTTATTTATTTGACAGAGAGAGAGAGACTGCCGAGAGGGAACACAAGCAGGGGGAGTGGGAGAGGGAGAAGCAGACTCCCCGCCGAGCAGGGAGCCCGATGCGGGGCTCCATCCCAGGACCCTTGGATCATGACCTGAGCCGAAGGCAGCTGCTTAACTGCCTGAGCCACCCAGGCGCCCCAGAAGTTACCTTTTGTTCTAATGAGGCAACTCTTGGTGGGTTCCGGGGTAGCTTCAAGTTTCTTCCATCTCTTAAAAAAAAAAAAAATCAGTATTTTTCTATTGACGGCTTCCAGATTAGCCTTTGCCACCCCCCTTCACTGGCCTACGATTCCCTTGCAGGTCAGAGGCACAAACGGTGATGTCAAGTCAGGGTTTCCCAAGGGTGTTCAGGGGCACCATTTCTGTTGGATATTAGTAGGTATGGCACTCAAATAAAATACCCCTGGTCAAATACATTTGGGAAATTTTAGATTACATGAAGTGAGAAGGTGGCTTTTTAAAAATAGGAGTGCCTTCTAATAGAGCAATATGACCTGAAACTCTCTAAATTCGAGATAAAGTTGGTAGCATTTTGCAAATGTATGTGATCACAGAGCCCCTTCCCAAAGAGCATACCAAGGAACTCATGTTCCATAGAACGCATTTTGGGAAACACAAACCTAAGTACGGTGGCTCCCACCCCTAACTATAGGTACCTGAAGCTGGGTCTAACATGTCTTGGAATTTAGCCCCTCTGCCTAAGGAGATCTGGGCTCTCACTGTGGCTTTCTGCATGAACTGCCTATTCCCGACATCTGACAAATGACTACTCCTTGACCTTTGTCTGGTCTGGCCCACGAATCCTTCATCCTCCGGCTCTCTTCAAGACTTAACAACAGACTGCATTTTGTGGACTCAACCCTGCCACTTTTTTCTTGCTGCTGCCTTACCCCGACAGCACAAAAACGCTCCCCTTCCTTACTTGACTGTGTGTATTTACAGTATTAATTCTAGATTCAATCAGACACTCCAAGGACAGGGTGGGTGCGGGGGTAGTGTTAGCAACATAAAGAGACAACTCTTACTGGCCTACCTAAGTATCAACGCCAATAAAATACAGCAGAGTTATTCTATGTGGACATTTGTATTGTATGAATTTGACTAGACACACATAGCACGCTGGCCCCAGATAGTGAGAAAAAAAAAAAAGTTTAAATGCAAGGCAGTTAGATTTTATGTTAGAGGATGCCATTACTGGAGGCCTCCCATAATTTAAAACTTGCATAATCCAAGATTAACTTTCCATAAAACTGGCAAAGAAAGGCAAGCATTTCGTTGCTGTCTGAAGAGGCCCTGCTGTAGCAAACCGGGGTTTCCAATCTACCTAGCCTTCCCGCTTTAAAACTCTGTGGTTGTTAATACAAAAAAATTTTTTTTTAAATTTCTCTTCCTCCAGATGCTGCCGATCATGTGAGAATTTATTAATATGTTTATCTTGCGCTCTTCCAAAGTTGCGTACCTCTTTAATCAATTGCTACTGCATTGTACTCTGGGTGCTGTCACTCGCCGCCCCACTCCGTTCGTACAGCGATTTAATCTGTTAGGAGCTACGACTGCTATTTCTTTCTTTCCGTGCGCCTTTCACAGTAGAAAATATCACTCTGTCCTATAAATGCAAGCCAACTATTTCATCGGGCCTTACCCAAAGAAACTGAAATCTATGGGATGTTGGAACGATGGCTATCCTGAATTTACTGAAAGGTATTTCTCTCTCCAAAATGTCATGTAGACTTAAGTGATTTTCAAAGATAATTCTGAATCTACATGGTTCTTCTCTCTATGTGTCAACTTTAGAAATTTACCTCCCGTCTACGATGTGACTCGACTTGAAAATTCACGATGGCCGTTACGTATTGCCAACCTAGCATCTGCTACTCCCTTCTTTCCTCTAAACAAAACCCTATTTTATTCAGGTATCTGCCCCTCATCTGACTCAAGGAAGATGATCCTACCAGCCATTCCAGGAGTAAATCTTGATCTGTCTAGTTCATCGTGGCAGTCCCGTCCCCCCGCCAGTGAACGATGACTTTCAGACTGGTCGAGTAACCGAATTCTGACCTATGACATCCAAGATGATGTCAGTTGAGGGGGCTCCGGAAAGAATTCCTTGATTCTTAGAAAGAAGCAGAAGCAGAACGGTCCCTCTTCTTCCCGAGCACATTGTTGGGGCTGGACGTGATTCCAATGGTTAGTGCCATCTTGCACCAATCCTCCGAGAAAGCAGGTCTCTGCCTCAAGAGTGAAGAGAGCAGAGAAGGATAATTCTAGGTCCTTGAAGATATTGCTCAGGTCTCGAATCGATCCTTCCTGATGTCTCCCCAACTTCTTCCTCTTCGATAATGTGTCAGTCAGCTTGGACCGGAATCACAAAATGCCATAGACCACAGGGCTTAAACAACAGAAATGTATTTCTCTTTGCTCCAGAGGCTGGGAAACTCAAGATCAAGGTGCCCGGCGATTGGGTTTCTGTTAAAGCCTCCCTTCCTGGCGTGCAGAGAGCCTACCTTCCCACCTTCTCACCATCCTCATTCGACCTTCCCCTCGTATGTGCACAAGGGGAGAGAACTCTCTCTTCCTCATCTTGTAAGGCCGCCAATCGTCCTGGATTAGGATCCCACCCTTATGACCTCACTTAACCTCCATTATAGACTAAAAGCCTTATCTCCAAATGCAATCACACTGGAGATCAGGGCTTCAACACATGAATTTAGGAGGGATACAATTCAGTCCACAGCAGATAATATAACAAATGATAATAAAACATAACTCACACCCTTATGTTTTTTAAACAACTTTAAATTGGTTTTTCTGTTACATATTACTGAATACACCCTAACAGATATCATACCTTATGAAGCAGGACACAAAGGATAATGTCCAATTCATGACATGTAACATGAGAAGATCAAGGGCTACTCTTCTCTCAGAACAAAGAAGTTGTAGAGTTAAAAATGGTTAGTCCATTGTTGCTACAGGGCATTTCATGAACTGCTGATTGTACATATATGTGGTATCATGTTAACATAAATAGTCTAGCCCTGAGGGAGTTTTAAGTTATAAAAGAAACATTTTTCTAAGATCAAGTACTCTGATATAAAAACCATACTCCAGCCCAGTTCTATCATCATAAAGTTCTGCCAAGCCAAGAGACATTAGTTGGTGATTTTATCAAGCAAGACTTCTAACTAATGGCTTGGTGAAGCCATCACTGCAACATAAAACACCCTAACGAACTGAAATGACAATTCCCTGCAAGAAGTCAGTTGTTTCCGATCGTTAGAGCTTATTCTTCAAAAAGCAGTTATCTCAGGGATTGTTCTAATCCTGCGAAGAAGAGGACACTTTCTCCTTTATTCCTGAGATGAGCGTTATGTTGATTCTTGCAATTCCAACCTAATTTTAATAACTACCTTCAACAAAAAGGGTGGAGCGTAGATGTTAGCCCATTCTAGTGAAGCTCTTACGAAACAATTTACCTACCATTTTCATCATATTGTACACAAAGTAATTTTATGTAGTCTTCCAGAGGAGAATCAAATAAATAAGATGATATTGACGTGAAGGATTTTCATAACATAGTAAAATTCGCTTTTTATTTCAAGCTTGGGAAGTGGAAAGAGTAGCACTTAGCAAATTTTAGAAACAAAGCCAAACAAACAGAAAACAACTCCACCAAGCCACAAAGGAGGAGAGAGTCTTCTGCAATACAGATGGACCCATAGTAAAGCAATAGAACCTGAGCCATTTTGAAATCTTAAAACTTCTATTTTCATGAACTCAGTAATACAAACCATGTGGTGAATGATTTTCTGAAAAACTTTGCTGGTTTCGCTGTGTATTTTATTATTGGCCAAATGTGACATTAAATTTTATCCCCTGTGGTTTGGAGTTAAATGCTTGCTCTGTTCAGAATGGCAACACTCAATTAAACAGCACTTTTCATGATCTACACCCACCATTGTTACTGTATTTAAGGGAAATAATGGGGGTACTGACCTATATTGCGTTTCTTATTATCAATGGAGATGAAGCGTATGCAGGGATTACTGGTGATGTACTGCCCAGCCCAAGGGACATCAATCTTCGTGCCAGCTTCATAAAAGAGGCCCAGAGCGTAGCGAGAGGAGTAGCTCACAGACTCCAGTTGCTGCCTTTGGCATTTGCTAATTACTGTGGAAGAAAAAATAAAGGGCATTAAACTTGAAAATATCATCTTTCCTTTTAGTGCATCAAATATAAAAAAGTCCTCTAAACCAGTTCCAACTGTGCCCCTTAACGCCGTCTCACTCACGATGAATTTTGAAAGGTAGTGCAAAACAACGTCAGCTCTAATTTCTTTTCGCCATGATTACTGACCTTGGCACAATTGTTTTTAACCAAGCTGAAGGTCCAATTCTTCTATGTCATATAGGTTTTTTTGTCTGTCATCTGTCTTGCAGTGGATTACAACAATTCCTTAAACATGGTGACCACACCTTAGGCATCTCTGTCCTAAGCCTCTACCCTACTCATTACACGAATACCAAAAAATGAAAGCATAAAGGAACAGAAAGGCAAACACAGACACACAAAGTCAGTCAAAATATAGGAGGCAAATCCTCAATCCCCAAACGGAGAGAGACCGGGAAAGGAATTAGGCAGGTTTGGGTTCAAATTCTGACTCCACCATGTGACATTGGTCAAGTTACTTATTCTAAAGTAGTCTATAGTCTTCTTGTCCTATAAGCAGCAATGATAGTACAGGATGTTGTGAGGATCACACCAAATAATGTGTAGCACAGTGCTTGGCATAGGATACGTGTTAACCAAACAGCCACTTTTTCTATTACAGAGAAGAAAATATTTGTTCCATCCGGGAGGGCGAAGGAGGAGATTTTCCCCCCTTTTCAATCTCCATCTATCTTCCTCCTCTCAAGGGTGTCAGGGAATTGCTTGTTCATATATGCACAGCATTAATGATGTGGGTTTCAGAGAAGGCCACAGTTCTATTCTGAAGGCTTAGGCAGGCTGGTTCAGATAGGAAACATACACAACTTTTTCGTGTAATTATTGAAAACTGTCCGAATCTACAACAGGAGGGATACGCAGACCTCAGGGAGGGCAGTACTTCAGCTAAACTTGAGGGAAGAGGCCTTAGGAGCTAGGGAGAAGGTGTGAAGGTTATTCAATGAATTATTTAAGCACACTAATAATCCTATACATTATCGTATGGCGTATTCTTGGCTACAAAATATTTTTAGAACTAAGACCTCCTTGGATCCTCACAAAAGCCCTGCAAATTACGTGTTTTTACCATCCTCATTTTACACCCCTAGGAAACCGATATTCAGAGAGGTTAATGAACCGGCCCTGGGTTACACAGCTTCCAAGTCGTGCGGCCAAGGAAACCAGAACTCCTGTACTGGAGTCAAGTATATATCCTCATTACTCCATGCTCTCCCCTCCTGAGCTGTAATTCTGAGCTTCAGTGTGAAATTTGGCATTGCTTTCTCCTCCGACAGGAATGCCCATTTTGCACTCACTCAGAAGTAAAGGCATCATCATTCCCTCTAACCATCATTGTCTGCCTTATTAAAAGATTGAACTACTTGATGAACAAATGATCTGACACTGGCCTTGTTATACTCAGTGTCTCTTGGGGTTCATTTTATTATTTAATCTGCTGTTACAGTTATGGCTTGATGTTATGCTCACTGCTTTCTGAGAGGAAGGAGGGGAAGGAGACTCTTAGTGGCCGTTGAGCACATACCGTGGACTTTGGGGCGTCTCGCTGTTTCTCATTTTTCCAGTTAAAAACCAAAGCAACAAAACTGTGTCATCAGCTATGTGGTAACCGAAAGGGCCAGAAATGCTCTCTCTTTTTTTTTTTTAACCCAAATTGAAGGGCCAACCAGGTTGACAACCAAACTGGACCTCCCCCTCCCCCTGCTAACATGCACACATTTCACCAGTTTTTAGACAAGCTGCCAAGTGGCAGACCCCACTGGGTGGCCCTGTGAAAAGGAAACTGGTCAGTCCCTATCCAAACACAGAAATTAACCATAAACACCCTCGCCTGCTCCAGGAGCCCCACGGTTCACTCTGAGGACAGGGAGGAATGACTTCTGATGGAAACAATCTCAATTTCTGGACATACGCACCTACTACAATAATTCATCATCAGGGCCTGAAAAGTTTTGAATTGTAGAGCCTAACAAAATGGTGTTATTTTGTATGAAAAATGTTCTTATGCAGAATGCTGAGGGGAGCATCCCTAGGTTCCAAACACATACACTTTTTGGCAAGAAAAATGATAGGTTTTTTTACTATCATGTATTCAAAAGGGCCAAATATCCACAAAACAAGTTGTGGAATTTGTGGAATAAAAATGCCGAATTCCAGGATAATGAATCTTTACCTGGATGTCACCCTCACTGAATTCTGAACCACCAGGGTTACGTAATTACATCGCGTGTGTGTGTGTGATGTGTGGATATGGGGGAGGGCAAAGGACAGGGAGAGAGAGAGAAACAGGCCTGAGCTGTACTCCTGAATTAAATCAAGTAATTTCATTTTCTTGTTTCTTAACCTATAAAAGAAACCTAAACATGCACATTCTGCCTATTTCCTATATACTTTTTAAAAAATATTTTATTTGTTGATCTGAGAGAGAGGGAGAGAAAGAGCGAGCATGAGCCGGGGGTGGGGAGGCAGAGGCAGAGGGAGAAGCAGACTCCCCGCCGAGCAGGGGGCCCGCTGACGGGGCTCGATCCCAGGCCCCGGGGATCATGACCTGAGCCGAAGGCAGACGCTTCACTGACTGAGCCACCCAGGTGCCCCTATTTCCTCTATTTTTTTGGTGATCGTCTCGTTCATTCATTGCCTACTCTACGCCAGGCACTGTTCTAGATATCAGGGACATGGTGCCGAAAGCTAAAGCCTCTGCTCTCATACAGCTCACATTCTAGTCGGAGAGAGGCCAGTTATAAACTGAGAACCAAGTCAAGGGTATGTCAGTTGGCGAGGAGAGCTGTGAAGACAAATGACGCAGGATAAACACATAGACGCGGCAGGTCCGTGTGGTGACGCTGTGTTATACAGGCCGTCAGGGATCTCTGTCTCCTCTGAGGATTTTATTCTGATTGACATGGGTAGTTACAGCTGGTTGTGAGCCAAAGACAGATACTACCCAGCCTCTGTTTTAAAGACTCTTACTCTGGCTACAGATAAAGACTCCAAGAGAGGAAGTGGGTAAATAGCTATTGGAGTCACGTTAGAATGGAGATAACATACAGGAGGGTCCGAAGTGGTTACATTCTGGATGGAATATATATGCGCGTATGTTTGTGTGTGTGTATATATATCTATGTGTACATAAACACATTTACATCACCTATTTTATACGCGTATGTATTTACATTTATAAATATTTATATTTTATTTATACTTATATTTATAAATATATATCATGTAATTTTTAGTTTTCATACAGAGAAGGATGCCTTGATGAATTTTCCTACCAACATACCAGTATAACCACCAGCTAGATGAAGAAACAGAATATTACCAGAACCCCAGAAGCTACCTTGGCCCTCCCTGCCAAAGGGAATCAATACTCCTGAATTCTAACCCCACAGACTGGTTCGGTTGTTCTCGAACGTCACATACACAGAATGATGTGGTGTGGACTCTTAGTGTTCGGCTTCTTTCACTCAATACTAAGCTTGCGATATTTACAGGTGCTGTTGTACGTAGTTGTAGTTAGTAGGACATTTCCTATCATCCTGTCATTTGCACAGTTCCTACTGTGGATGGACATTTGGATTGCTTGTAGTATCTGGTGATGACAAACGTAATGTGAAGAACATATCATGTGTTTCTCTCGGGTATATACTTAGCACTGGGGCTCCCCAGCATGGGGTTCCCTTCCACTCGGCCTTCCCAGATCCTGCCAGATGTTTTCTAAAGTGATTGTGCCAACGTGCACTCCCCCCCGCCCCCCCCCCCCGGCAGTGAACAGAAGTTCAGTTGCTCCACATCTTTGTCCATGTTTGCTACTACCTAACCACCTCCTTAATTTGGGGGTGTAGTGATATCACACTGTGGTTTTACTCTGCATTGCGCGGTGACTCACGTTTGGAAAACCTGCCGTGTTTATTTGGATATCCTTTAGTGATCTCCTGTTCAAATCTGTGCTCATTGTTCTCAGGGTTGTCTGCCTTTTTCTTATTGCTATGTAGGAGTTCTTTACATAGTCTGGATAGGAGTCTTGCATATGAATTATAGACTTTCTTCTCCATGGCCTGCAGTTTTACTCTCTCAATCACGTGATTTTGTGAACAGAGTTTTAACTTTAATAGAATTCACCATTTTTTTTTCCATCTGCAGTTAGCATGTTTGTGTCCTATTTAAGAACTCTTTACTTACTTCAAAGCCTTGAAGATATTTTATTTATTTACTCTTTCTGAAAGCTTTATTGGTTTACCTTGCATAGGGTTTTAGACACATTTGGAAGATAAAGCAGGCGTGATCCCTGTGGGCTTGGAAAGGTGGTCTGAGGGAAAGAGGTCAAATGAGGAATAGATGTGACGTTACTCCTCACTCACTCTAGTTAAACAACAGCTTTCTTATTATCTAATTTTTGAACTGAGGTGGCTCAGTTGGTTAAGCAGCCAACTCTTGGTTTCAGCTCAGGTCATATTAGGGTCCTAAGATGGAGCCCTGCATCGGGCTCTGTGCTGAACAGAGTCTACTTCGCCCTCTTCCTCTGCTCCTTTCCCTGCTCTCTCTCACTCATAAATAAATAAATTTAAAAAACAAAACAAAACAAAACAAAACCCTCACTAGACTGTAAGCAAATTCAGGCAAGGGCTGAGCCTCAAGAACTTTGTGTGTCCAGGTCCTCCCAACGATGACTGGTACAATGTGAGCATTCAATAAATATTAACGAATGCATCCTCATCTTAGAATATCTGGATAGTACACAAAGGCATAAAGAGGCAAAAGGGGAAATAATCACTATAATCCTCGCTGTCCAGAGAAAAAGCAACTATTATTAACATTTTGATATCTTTTTCTTCAATATTTTCCTGACTCTTTTCTTTAAGCATGGCCATGCTGATATTATACATACGATTTTGCATACTGCATTTCTGTTTACCTTAGGACAAAAAATGACATCGTGACTATGA